AGAAAGAAAGAAAGAAAGAAAGAAAGAAAGAAAGAAAGAAAGAAAGAAAGAAAGAAAGAAAGAAAGAAAGAAAGAAAGAAAGAAAGAAAGTACTGTTTTTCTTGTCTACGGAGCCCGCGAGGGGACATAGATAAACTACAATCCCAGCATGCTCAGCGGCGGGAAGAAAAAAAATGAAATCGGCCATGTCGCGTTAGGGAATCACAGAACGGGTGAATGTGGTTCAGGGAATAGCTTACCGATTTGTTATATTGGATTAAAACTAAACTTTGAAAATTTTGATATTTGACCAGTTGTTTTAAATATATTCTGTGGAAGTCGTAAGGTTCGTAAATTTAGCAGGTAATCATGAGCGGAGGAGGGACGCCGTACATCGGCAGCAAGATTAGCCTCATCTCCAAGGCCGAGATTCGCTATGAAGGAATTTTGTACACCATTGACACTGAAAATTCGACTGTAGCTCTTGCTAAAGGTAAGTTTAGTCAAAAATAAAGACGATTAAAATCCTAAAAACGTTAAAAAAAACTCACATTTGTGAGTATGTGAAATGGGGTGTAGCGCAGTTAGCCGAGTTAGTTAGCTTTTCGTTAGCCGCCTGAAGAGGCTAAGGCTTAGTCCTTTGTTTACTTTGTTTTTACCGTTATGTTAAAACCTGAGCCCAGAGAAGAAAAACAAAAAGGCCACGTGTTGCAGTGTAACGTGCACGCTAATAAAGTTACACGTGCGTTTTTTTTCCACCTAAGCAACATTTTAATGTCGTTTCTGAAACTTGTGCTAATTATACCTTCAAGTAGCATACTCTTAATTAGTGTAGTTGAGATTAGTGCTACAGATTAAAACACTGGACACGCTGGTTTAGGAACTAATTTAAAGAAATGCTACTATGCAGTGTTGGAGAGCATGTTCATAAAAAGTGAAATATGATTTTTAAAAAGGSATTGGTTTGTTTTTCACCCAACAGTTCGCTCTTTTGGCACTGAAGACCGGCCCACAGACAGGCCCATTCCACCTCGAGAAGAAGTCTTTGAGTACATCATCTTCAGGGGGAGTGATATAAAAGACCTGACAGTTTGTGAGCCCCCTAAAGCCACTAGCAGTCTGCCTCAGGACCCTGCCATAGTTCAGGTAAACTCACTTTACTAAATCACACAGCCCACTCTTAGTACACAGCTCGAATAATAGTTTGTCACATTTAGGCCTTTTACGATAACACATTTTGCTAGACAATAAATTGTTGGAGAAATTACTGCGATAAACGATWATATTGTTTGGAGACCATTTTGAACTAATGTAATGACGACGTCAGAAAACCGAAGACACCCCTCTAGTTAAATGCCTGTTCATTCACGCTCTTATGAAACCATGTGCTGGACTAACAGATCRTTCTCAATGACGTCCTCATCCRGGACTATTTTACCAGCCACATCTTGTTTGTGGGTTAGCATTTWGCTTGTAGTGAAGAAAACCAGTATTAAGGAATCCCAAAAGCAAGCGAGAAAAATCGCAAAAAGGCAGCCAAACGACACATACAGGCTGCACTACCAGCACACACTGGATTATTAAACTAAATAAAGGTATTTAGGTTGAATCGGCTGTATTGAAKGCATCAATCTTTATGAGGTGCCAATGTGGGGGACACAGCATGTGTTGACATGGTCTGGTGTAACTTATCCAATATTAATTTACATACACCAAGTGGGTACAGACTGCACAATACTGAGCTTTTTGTGTTTACAATTTGATGCCGTGTCAGTGCAACTTACATGCATGTTTATAGGAGTGGATTGCAGTGTTCAAAACACTGTTCATTTATATTTCTCAACCTCTCTTTCTTATGAACTATGCCCTCACTAACTGTTTTAGATGTGTTATAAGCATACTCTGCAATCCAGGAATGTGGTGAAATCTTGGTGTTTGATTCTTGCAAGCCGCAAATCACATTTTTCGGTTTTTCTGCTGCTTCTCCTGGTGCTTTTATGACCGTCTGGATAAAAAAAAGACAGTTTCACTACCCCATGAGCAGCACAGGTGTTGCAACTAACTCCARTGCAAACTTGCACCATGACTGCTAAAACAAGTAATAATAAAACATACTGCTGCATGAACAATCTAGACTTTTCTTGTAAAGTTTTTAAGTTGGTATTAACATGCATATTAGCTTGCCAAGAAGTCTGTCGTTCCTGGAAAAAAGACTTAACCTTGATTTTTATTAGCAGCACCTGTGCTTTATCCAGAGTAAGAAGTCAGATTTACTGATGTAAAAATAACACATCTTAAAATTGAAGTTTTTCTATCAAATGATAAATGTCAGACAACAAAAGTGTTTTTTATCACAGTTTTAATTTTCTTGCAGCAGAATTACTAAAATAGTTTTCACAATGCATTTATAGCAAACATAAATGTTCTTCACCTTTTTATTATAAACATTTGGTCAATATTTCTATAGAAACAATCATTATCTTGTGCATGGGATCATAAAATATTTCACAAGTTGTTTGAACTGGCAATGACACAGGTGTTTCCMATTACATTAATTATAGCTCTTGTGTTTAGTAAAAGTTGAACCACGTGCAGTACCACCTGTTCTCAAAGAAACACAGTTGTTGTGAATGACATCAAAATATCTCATGAACTGCTGGAGGAATTTTATTGAAACTTGCAGAAAGTMATTATTGGATGTACATCTACAACTGATTAACCTCTGGAGTCAGTACAGTTCGAGATGGCCACCACAGCTAATCAACWCTAGCCTGCACAAAAATGTCTAAAACTCAGTTTTGAAAATATTGAGCTAAAAGTTGATACATTGTGTCGTCTGTTAAAGGGATCCCTGATTAGTTGTAACTAGAGGTGTCCCGATTCCGATACCAGTATCGGTATCGGATCCGATACC